CAAATAACTTACTCAAATTCAGGCCAATGGAGGAATTAGTACATATTTTTGGACTGGAACATTTTGGAGAGAACCTTATTTGCATGATTAACCACTTAAAGGAGACATGAAATTTGATTGGCATATTTATATTAATATACAGATGACTCCATATGATTTGCTTGCCATTACAGCATTTTTCACATTTTCTATATTCTATGTTTTGTAAACTTTATGGCTTAGACTTTTTGGTCTGCAGTGGGGTCAAACATATTTTATGAACACATATCTGATTTCTCTTTTTTGATTATTCCAAACTATTGTTTCTTCCTTTCTTCCAGTCTGTTAATCTTTTTATCTATGCATGCTTCATCATTTTTGTAAAATCTTGTTACTGACTCTTACCTATATATAAAGACCACTGATCCATAACACACACACACACACACACACACACACACACATACCACTTTTAGTTTTACCAAATGTTTTACTATCTTATTTGTAGCATTTTCATTTTAGTGAATTGATAGACATGTAAAGACAAGTCCATTTAAATCTGCATCAGACGGAATGGATGTCTATAATAAAAAAAAAGAACAAGAATACAAAAAAGTTACATCTCACCCTCTACAGATTAAAATTGCATTCTCTCCCCAAGATAGATCAAACTGGAATAGTCCTAATTAATTGTGATAATTACTGTGAGTATCATTACCTCTAGATCTTTACATTTGTTTGTTTTACATGGCTATCAATTTACTGTTTCCGAATAAAGTGGAATCCCATTTTGGGACCAGTGAAATTTCTTTGTTACAACTTTATTTTGTTAAGAGCACCAACATGTTTTATAGTTTCATCTTTTTCAAAGAAAATGCAAGGCACAGTGATCATGATGTTGGTGCAGGCATCAACTCGGTGTTCAAGTTTTGTGCAAGCCAATGGTTAAGTTTTGCACAATTCTATAACTTATAAAACAGTGAGACATTGCTGTTCTCTAGAACACATATAATTTATTGTCCATAGCTTGGAAAACATTGAGACATTATTTTTCTCTGGAACACGTTATTGTCCATAACTTGGGAAACAGTGAGACTTTGCTGTTCTCTGGAACAAATGTAATTTTTTTAAAAAAAGGATTTCATTAAGGAAAAGAAATCCAAGTATAGACTTCTTTTTGATTGAAGGCGAGAAAACATTTTTCCTAAGAGTAAAAATGTGTTTTTCAAATTGTTTGACTTCAAATTTGCATAAGATTTTTTGTCTTGGCCATTGAATCCTGTTTATTAAGGAGGTGTCAATTGATTTTCTTTAATTCATTGGTTTTTAGAGACTGTTGAGTTTGTAACAATGATATTAGTTTTTGTTAATTAAATTTCATGAAGTGCAAGATGACTTCTAGCCTATTTCATAAAACAAAATGTTTAACTATTGTTCATAGTAAATATAAATTATGTGTTGCAGATATTGTTTCCACACAATCAAATTCCTTTAGTGGATAAGTAAAATCACATTGATTACAAAGATCATATCTGGATGGGAAACTGGTTCATGACAGGCTAGGTTACAAATTTGCATACCTTTTCATACAAGTCTAATTCAGATTCATAAAATCTGATAAATTTTCTTTAACTGTAATAATTTTCCCCAGTCATATTTCATTATTTATAATTTCTGTTTGCATATAGACTTTAAGTTTAGTTATTTGAATCAAGTAAATAATGAATTGGTTAATTGCAATCAATCTGCCTGTAATTTATGTCTTATTGTAATAGTCCATGTTCCCTCAAAACCCTGTGCATGGTACAGTTGGACAGTTATTTTGGAGTGGTAGGTTATAATCATTCGTGATTTAATACATGTAATTCTTGAAACTAATGGTGGCAGAATAAGGTAGTATTTTTATAGTGACTAGCATAATTACAATAAGCAACTTTGTTTCAAACACAGCCTGTCTGAATCGATTATACACTGAATTGATAAAAAAAAAATTACCTTCACACACACAAAACTTTAAAATATATAATTTCTTTACTAAGCTGACACATGAACTAAAATTACAACTGTTACAAACTGTACTTTCTGCTTGACCATTTCTCCTATTGCTTAGTCATATGATTCAAAAGTTCATGGCATAAATTTTCTGTAGATTTTGGCAATCATGTGACTAAACTGATGCATTGCAAAGTATGGCCTGTTTATATATACTGGTTAATTGTCCTATATGTTGGGTCACTAAAGTAACAAACTGTATTTCATTTGTTATGTCCATGAAGATAAATATTCTGCTAATCAATTTCAGGCAGTGTGAAACAGGGTTACTTAATATCTATCATACCCACAATGTCAAGCAACTATTGCTATTGTTTGGTCCTGGTAAATTCCATATTTTGGATAGACCTCACTTTAGACTACTTAGTACTTTGTCTATGTAGTCACTCCAATCAATAGCAAGATCTCCAACATGCACCAGTAAAAGTTCACGTTATAGTGACATTTCCACTAATTTTTAGAAGACTGTAGAATATTTGTAAGCATTGTATTTTGTGTTATGGAGTGTTCTTGTTAGTAGCGATATGTTCTGAATGATGTTTTTCACTTTAAGAAAGTTGTAATGTACTGGGGAATCAAAAGGGTAACAGAACATGGTTTCCTATTAGTGTTCATAAGATTTACTTACTGTACATAGATTGAAATTAAATTAATTGTCCATTAGACTACTGATTCTTGGAATTCATCAAGTGACATGAGAATGCATGGAATAAACAAATCTGTATGATCTAGGAATACTTTGGTTCAGGAAAGGTTTGTGTGATAAATAAGTCTTAATGAATAAAAATAAAACTTGCAGTTGTTTATTTTCATTTTTGGCACAGCAGCATTCAAGAGATGCATTCAACAGCAGAAACATGACCTCAGAATAGTGTGTATCCATCATTGTGCCAGGTGAAGTTGGTAAACTGCTTTGAACATAAGTGTTACATTGCTCAATTACAAAATGTTACAAGTGCTTGATTAAGCTGATTGATATAGACACCACACATTTACATGATCAGATTGAAATTTCATGAGGTTCATAATGTTACAGGTTTAATTATGTTCATGCAAATCAACTGCACAATTTTTACATGCTTACTCAATTTTAACAGGCAATTCATTTAATTTAGAGGTATTTTTATAGTCACATCTCCTGAGTGAGATGAACTAAAAATTTACCATATTTTCTAATGAAAACTGTCTTGTGAATGTGATGAAAAGTTTGTTGTTGGCTTATCATCAGATAAGGATTTCATAATTAAAATGTTGGAGATGATTTATAATTGGATAAATAAGTTATATTCTTTGTTTTAAAGAAAATTTGCCATAGTGATCTCTTCTTTAAAAGACTTCGTATATCATTGATAGATATAGTAAGCAGGAGTTGAGATGTCATCAAAAAGCATGTTTGCCCACTGGATAACTGTACTGATAAATCTGGTTGCACAGCAAAGTGTTGTTTGAATAAAATTGTTAAAAAAAATTTCAAAAATTCCAACATAATTATTCAGTTATTCATAATTCAGCATGGGAGTTTTTGCAAGTGTGTAACCATAATTGTCATACTATGTTTTTTGTCATTTCATGCAAAGAGACCATTTTATTAATTTAGCATAATGACAAATATTTTGACCCATTACTACCAAAAGTTGTTTGTATGGTAGGGCTTTAACGTTTGAGCCAAACTGGTTGATTGGCTTTAATTTCAAGTTGACCTGGACTACCTAGCAGTGGATTTTTCTTCTCCTGGTGTAGAAGAGTAATTCTCCATTTTTTATTTAAAAAGATTACAGTTTTAGAAATTCCCCATTTTGCAGACCCAGTAAGTAACCATTAATGCTTTTGTCTCAGTTGTGCATTGCAATCAAGGTGAGAAATATACTGTCTCAAACATTTGTAATTATTAGGGGGTCAAGAAATTAGGGTTTGCATTCTAAAAATATTATGTCAGGGTTCCAATCTTAACAATAAGTCTGTTTCTTTGCCATTGTAATGTCATTTTGCAACTGCATCTATATCCTTTATTTTAAATAAGCTTTACCATGTTAAAAATAGGTCACATTGACACATATTTTAAGTTTCATTAATTTTTCAAGGTACATGATGTTAAAATTGTATTGTGTAGAGTGATTCCAGATATGGCACTTATACTTGCTTATCCAGATCTGCTGGCACATAATGCACTGGAAGACCTTGATCTTTGCAGTTTTTTTGTTAGGAGTAATCTGTAGAACAAACAGCATAGACTCTGTTCTACAGGTGCATTATGCTACAGCAGATCAGGATCTTTGTTTTTTCAAATTTCATTTGACTTCTAAGTGAGTATATAGAGTTAACTAATGTTAATGGTGCCATTTCATTGACAAATCCCCAAAATAACTCTACCTGCTTATTAGCATTCTATTTTGTTAAAATCAGATATTTGATCTGACAGTTTTATCCATTTTTTGAGATAACTTTTTGTTTGATAATGGGATGAAAGATATTGGAATTGTATGTGTTTTTATAATGAGAATTACATTGATATCAAACATACAGTGAACCTTGCAGCCTTACAGTATGATACACTTAGCACTCCTGATATCATTAAAGATTGAGATCAATAAATGATTCATTGAAATTTGAAAATTAATGACTTACAGCTGGTACCTTAAATATGTAGTCTAGTGACTCTTTTTTGTTGAGATGACTAACATTCAAAAAGCAATTATAAATATAATACCAAATTGGTTACTGAAGGTAGAGATGTGATGTGATTATGATTTTTAACGTAATTTTAACAATTTTTCAGTCATATTGCTATGATGTTTGCAGTGTGGTAGTTTATAGTGATGTCCAGCACTGGGGCATCATGCCGAAGACATGTTGCATAATGTCACACCCAGTCACATCCTGACACTAGGCCGACCAGTCCTAACACTAACTTCTTAATGCTGAGTGTCAAGCGAGGCAGCTGTTAGTACCATTTTTGTAAGTCTTTGGTATGACTCAACTAAGGATCAAACCCACGACCTCCTGCATCCAAGGCAGACGATCTAACCACTAGGCCACTGGAGAGGTTATTACTGAAGGTAGTCTACAAGCCCAAAATAAATGGGGGGGGGTATATTGTAGGAATGATTGCCAACAATATAAATTTGTTATGTATTATGAATGTTAGTTGTGTTTTGACTTAGAATTAGATCTGCTTAGACTTAAAATCAGGTGAAGAATATATTTGACACTGACATATTTCTGCATCAATATGTGTTCATAGTCTGTTTAAGCTGGAAGGATAATTATATTTGTCCCTAAAAGTATTTCTTTGCTTAGTTACAAAACTTCTTCTTTGCCTTCTGACTGACACAAGCTCTAGCTTGTGTCATGAAAAGATGTTCAATTGCTTTGTAATGAGCTTTCCAGCTCATGTTCATGTTATATATAAATACTTTGAAATAAATAATTATAGTCAATGTGACAAAATGGCAGGGAATATTGTAGCTAGTTATGTTTATAATGCTTGAAACACAATTGATGTTAGTGATTTATAGTATAATTGGTGTGCATGCCACATGCACAGATTAGAAAACAGTTTTTCAGAATCCATGTGAAAAGGGATTTTATTGCCCATTAATTTAGTTTCTACAGGTGAAATAAATTGACTTTACTATAGCCAATTTTGGTGGAAGGAGACTGTCCTAATTTAATGATGCATGATTGAAGCAAAATAAATTTCTCTTATAATTATTTCATTTTTTTCTTTGTTGTCCTTTTTGAGTTTTGGATGACCTCAGTATTCTTATCTATCCCCATAAGAAATTACTTAGATGAAATAGTTCAATACCTCCTAGTTTACATAGATTATAAATAAAAGGTTCATTTGCTGAATACTTCCATTTTATATTGATTATTTGTAAAAAAAAATGTATACTTACACATGTTGCCAGTAGAAGTCGAATATTGGGTAATTGAGTTTTGTTATGCCCCATGTCATAGAATCTTGGCATGATGATTACTTTTGGTGTCCACATGCATGTTCATATATCCATGGTACAGCAGTGCACACCCAAGATTAACATCAATATCAATATTTTGTACTTTCCTTTTGTATTTGGTGTCTTTTGTATTCCTTTGTGTTCAGATTTATTTGGAAATATAAATCAAGCTTTGGCTCACAATGTATGCTTTTGGCTGTAAATCTAATTGTTAATTACAGGCAGACCTTGTTATTATGAGGTTACATTAACAATCTTATTTATATAAAGTTACCATATTTACTTCTTATAAAATGAGTCCAACTGCAGACTGCACAGATAAATATATGTTGTTGCATAATGCACCAGCAGATATGGGTATGTGCAGTTTGTTGGGAGTAATCAGTAAAACAAAAAACTTCCCTAATTGACCGGCACATTATGCTATGGCTGATAAGGATTTTTGTTGTTTGCAGTTTAAATCTACTTATAAGTGACTATATAAGGTACATTTCTGGTAGAGCAACATATGTTTTAAATTTTTTTTAAAAAGTAAGAGTTTCATTTACTGGAAAAATAGAATAAAAGCAAACTCAGATTGAGGTTATGGGGTCCAGTTTTAGCCTTGATAAATAATTATGATACTCTTAAATATTATCAAGGTTGTTCTTAGCTGCTTTTGTCCTATATGGTGATGGTACACAATATATTTTGTTACAGCTTTACTTTGCCCCATAATAGTTTTTACAACTTTGCAGCCTTCATGAATATTTAGCCTGCCAAATCAAAATGCCAAAAGAAAACAAAACAATAATAATAGGTTTTGTCATTTTTATTTACCATATTTTACAAGTATGACATTGTTTAGTGCTGTTTAAAAATAACATTTGTTCCAAAACACATTTCTTTCAGCATATTTACATGATTTAAGCATTTAAATTTTCCCCTATGAATTTAATATTACATTGAGACTTTTTATAATTTCTAGCTAATGTACATATCACATGGTGGTGGCAGCACAACAATTGAATGATCAGCCAACCACATGATTTTAATTGTGGTACATATTCTGAATTTAATTTGTTTGTTTCTTTACTGAAACATGCTTTGCTACTGTGTTTCTTTTCTTCTCATAACCTTGTGAACTGTTAAATAGTGTAAAACTGATTTTCCTAATTAACATTACGGCGCTGCATCAGAATGTGGAATCATTATTTCAGTCACCTTTTCCATAATTTCATAGAACTAGTTGCACCAGTTATATGTTTTGCCTGATCAATTCTATTTTGGATAAAGTTATGGTCTGTTACAGTAAAGTTAGCATCTTCACACAGAATGTTGCATGCAACTGGTTTGACTTAAGAAATATTCAACACATTCCCATACAGACCTATTTGTGTCATGGGTTTGTCTCAGCTCATTTTGAATGACCTTTCACATAGGGTTTTGCTTGAACTTTTCAGCATGCTCTGGAATGTGTTACATGTATGAACATTTTCTTAAAGATTTAGATGTGCCATTTATGGATTTTGTATCATCAGCTGCATTTTAAAAGAGTTATGGCCCTCAATATTTAACTTGATATCTTCAAATTGGATGTAATTGTCAGTTAAAGACACAATCAACATATTCTGATTGAATTTGGTATTAACATTGTCTTTCAGACTTGCATATGCTATTATGAGTTTAGTTTCATCTGCTCAATGTTAGACAAATTTATGAACCAGGTGAAGTGAATTCTTATCTTGTAATCAGCATGCACATACTGCAAGAACTGTTCAACATATTCTGATGGGAGTTCAGTAAGAATATCATCTTGTAGACACAGAGGGGATGTTTTATGGGTTTTGTCATATCTATGCCTTTGTGGACAGTCATGACCCTGTACATCAGCTTCATCTTTACTTTGGACATTTCTTGTATTGACAAGTCTTTAAAAGAGCTGGGGTTAAAACATTCACTGCCATCATTTAGAGTCACGGCCCCTGAATGTCCATTCTCTGCTTACTTGGGTTTCACATAAATTGTTCTATTCAGGGCTGTATGGAGTAATTTGTATCAATTTGTGATGCACCCTTTTCGGATAGATCTAGTTTACTTTGGGTTTCATACATGTACATTGGTTATAACTTCTTGGAAGTATTGAATTAAATTATTGAAATGGTTCCCAAAATATTTCAATGTTAACATGAAACTATTTGGACAACAACATTTATTAGCGAATTTATGTACTGTATTCATTATAAAAGACTAGAAATGTTTTACTTCCAATGTGTACATTTTACCTCTTTAATTATGATATTATAAGTTCAGGCATTTCACCATGACTGCATTAAAACAAGGTGAAGTCTCCATTGTTTAGTAAAGATAATAGATGCAGTCTTAACCTTATTTTATGAAATGCAAATAAAGAATATATAACCAATCAAGTTTTCTTGTACTTTTCTTTATACATTATAAAATGTTATTGCTTGCATATTTCAAACAAATACAATGGGTTATCCTTACTATAATATATACTCATTTATAAATAATGGTAAAGTGCACAGACCCAGATCTGCCAGCACATTAAAAACTAAATACACAATGTAATAAATAGTTGTAAGGTCCTGTGCTACAGCTTTCTCATTTCGGGTCCAAACCAATTTGGCCTGGAATGATCCGGCTCAAAGTACTTCTTGGGCTGGGATAATTCAATTGGGATGTTTTAGCTGACATTTTATTAGGGATACCTTATGCTCTTTTAATAATGATGTTATCATTGGAGTATAGTTTGGGAATGATGTCTGAAAAAATTATGATAATGTCCATATATTCAATGACTGTCAAAAGTGTGAATCACTGAATTGTGTTTGTAGTTGTTCAGCATACCATATATACATACATACTTATAAGTTGAGTCAAACTGCAAACAACAAAGACCCAGATCTGCTAAAACATAATGCACCTGCATATCAATGTTGTTTGTTCTACTATTCTCAACAAACTGCATAGATCCATATCTGTTGGTGCAGTATGTGAGTCTGAGATCCAGAGTCTGTACAGTTTGCTGCTGGACTAGTCTTATAAGCAAGTAATCAATCATGTACAAATGCAGTTGTTATATATTCTGATTACTGACAGGTAAAATACATATAATAGATTGCAGTATGACAGTGACAAAGTAAAAGTTGAGTAGGGAGAGTGCCAGTTATGAGTGATAGATCAATTGATTATGCATTTGAATGAAATGAAACATTGAAAGTTGTTTTAAATAAAATAAATTACTCATATAGATTCTAGTTGGTACTGGTTCAAAGCAACAATGTTATGAAACTGATGACATGTCTAGTTCAACTTTATAAAAGAGCTACTGGCTGAGGTCTACACATTAATTGACCCTGCACAAATGTAATGAAGAAATGTAATGCAACAAATGAAATGAAGAATAAAAGAAGCATAAATTGGGTCTGATTTTTGTATGTTACAAAATGAAAATTTCATATGAAATAAATTTCAGTAATATTGTACATTGTCTCTGATTATACAACTTTGCTGATTGCCATTTCATCCATCATAAACTTGTGATGTCCCTGTCTAGCAGTTTTATTTACATACCTGCAGTCTTACTAACATTAAATGTTTGTTGGTGTGTTCTAGTCTGCAGCTGGCAGAGTTTCTGGGCATTTTTCTATATGTAGTTGTATATGGTATAATGCATCTGTTTGACGATAAAGTCATATTCATTATGCATAATACATAAAACCTATGTCTTGTCCTGTTTTCCTCCTATTTATTCTTCCTGGAATAATATTTTTTTTTTATAACAGTGTTTCATTTACTAAAACATTAAAATTTCTTATAAATTATGTTACAAACTGAACTGGGGCCCCAAGTGGTCTAAAGCGCTGTCTGTTATGGATCACTGCCATCTCACCTCTGTCTGCGTGAGTTTGAGTCTAGGATTCGGCGAATGTGGATATGTGAGAAAGCTTGCCAGTAGCTTCACGTGGGTCAGTGGTTCTTTCCGGTGATTTCCTGGTTTCTTCCTCCACCATTAATACTGGCCGCCATGAATAGCCTATTGTGTGCTGAAAAATGGCGTTAAGCCCAACAACAATAAACTGAA